GATCCATTCGGTCATGCCTAACAAGTTCTTGCTCTGAAGCTTCTTGTGTAGGACCTTGTTATGTTTTGCTTGAGGGGTTACAAGCTCTGTATGAGGTTCATGTGAAACCTATTTAAATTTTATTTTAACCCAGAGGCCAAAGGTTCCATGGATAATTTGGATAAGCAATGTATGATTGTTATATATTACTGACTAATTTATGCTTATTGCTATGGAAAGCATATGCTACATTTTACAATTCAGTTGCCAACCAATAGCAAACAAGGGCATGTCAATATTTTTGCTGGTGATTACTATTAGCAATGATGTTTTAGTACCAAGTTCAAAGTATGCACACATTTTCAACTTATCACTGGACTCAGTGTAACTTGCAACACACAGTTGGCCATGAACGAAAATGATAAAGAATTGCACCAATGGTTTAATTCATACTATAGATTTTTCTACAAATACGATTACCTAATCATACATTAAAGATCACTATTATGATATTTGTTATTCCTTGTGATTTAGAGATATCTACCATAGATGTATATATTGTATATAATTTATAAAATATATATTCAAGAAGATATTTTTTGTGAAACACAATTTAAATTTAGCATGACAGAACTTTATTTCCATTACATACCTTATAAATGTATAACAAAAAATTTATATTTAGCATGACAGAACTTTATTTCCATTACATACCTTATAAATGTATAACAAAAAATTATATTTAGCATGACAGAACTTTATTTCCATTACATACCTTATAAATGTATAACAAAAAAAATTATATTTAGCAACTTGGTTATGTGGTTTACTAAGTCCAATATGTAATAGATTAGTATACTTGTTAAATTTAGAGGATGAAAAAAATAGAAGTATAAGATTTAAGTATAAATTATAGTAATCCTAGAAAAAGTGATGATTGGGTTCACGGCTAAGATAATTGCAATTGTAGTTATCTTGAGATCTTAATCAAACATAATAGGAAGTCTCAGATAATTGCGCTCGTAGTTAACAGCAATCAAATAGAACCAAAGAATCCGTCACATCAGAGTGCGCACTGACTTCATGAGCTGGATAATCCCCATGTCCTTGGCTTTTCCTTCTACATACGTTTCGACAATCTGCAAACGTGCATAAGCAGAGAAGCATATATATGATATTGATCATGTAAAAAAATGTATAAATGTTATCACTTAACAATCAGGTCTGAAACAATAAATTATTTCTCTATGCTAAAACATACAATAGTCTGCCGTAGATTCATGTTGGGAAGGGCAATGCAACTTTATTATGGAATTTCTATGAAAATGGCTAAGAAATAGCCCCTTTGCTCATAGATGAAGTGAGTACAAGAAACTACAATAGGAGAATAGTGGATGAAGCTATAATCTTGCATTCCTAGGTGCCTGATATCGTTGGCTGCTTAACCACTTAGGGCTTCATCCAATAGTACCCCCCCCCCCTCTCGCAGCCAAAGAGGCGGGAAGAAGATGAGGGGACCCGTGGCCTTCAGTGGGAAGCATGGCAACTAACATGTTTTGGGAGGGAGAGTGCTTTGGAGTCCTCCTCTTCCAAAGGCATGGAGTAGACTACATCTCTCATGCGTACGGTGGATCATGTAATAACTCTTCAGGCTTTTTGGGCGACATTTTGTTACTTAAGACGTCAAAAATGATTCACTATACCGACGATGCTCCTAATAGCTACCAGGGCGATGACGACCGTACCGACGAAATCTTGGGGAGTGCGCATCGACAGCGACCTTGTTGACAATAATGTAGTTGCTTGGGTCGTCCGGACGTGTCGATCAGTTTACAAATAGCAGGCAGAGAAAACCTTGGAATGCTTGACCTATACTAGATGAGGTGAGCCTCGCACGTACTTATTGTTTTCATGGCAGCCTGACGTCATCACATTCGGAGTTCGGCGCACTACGGAATAGGAAAGGACTAGTAGAGAATCAAGAAAGCCTTGGGTATCTACTACTTCAATTAAGTTTTTTTAGGGGTACTCATTCGATTAAGTGTTAGAGCAACTCTAACAAAGTCCTCAAACAGGCCCGAAACAGCTAATATGGAGTTTGGGGCCAAATGCAGATCTAGCACTTTCGACTCCAAAAACGGGGTCATCATCTCCATATATGATGGTTGGTTAGGGATGCGGATATGGTCAAGGTCAGAGCTAGATTAATTCAAGGGATAAGCAAGGTAGCGATTCGACACTATAGAGAACCAGAAACTATAGCGACCTGGGTTTTTAGGTTTTTTTTTTGAAAACCAAACATTTTTTGGATTTGCGAGGAAATTGTGAAACAAGTACATTTTAAAAAAACACAAACATTTTTTGTGAAAAATCCCAAACATCACAATTTTCAAAAAATATATGAGATTTTTAAACGAAAGCGTTTTTGAAATTCTTTACAATTTTTAAAATTCCTGAGCATTTTCTAAATTTATGAACCAAATTTGAAAACACAAATATATTTTTTGAAATTTTGAGTAATTTATGGAAAACATAAACATTTTTAAAATTTCCAAAAAAGAAAACATGAGCATTCTTTAAAAGAAAATAAACATGAAAAAGGGAAAAAGAGTAAAAATAAACATAAAAACATTAAATGGACATTGTTGAAAGGGTAAAATGCATCTAAACCATAAATAAAGGTTTATGCACCAAGTGTAAATAGCACGAGATCGAAATTAAAGAATAGTAATCACTAATCATTGTTATTGAGCTTCTTATGATGTATCGGTTAATTCCTACTTTCATAAAAAAGATACTATCCGGAGGTTTCATGTTAATTAGAGATCAACATATCATATAATTTTAAATACTACCTCCTTCGGGAATTACTTCTCGCTTAAATGGATGTATCTAGCACTAGATACATCAATTTGAGCGACAAGTAATTCGAGAGGAGGGAGTATATCTCAACAGATAATAATTCATAGTTTTAACATAAGACATCAACTGACCATTTATGCAGCGGACTTTGTTATGAACTGAACTGACAGAGATCATTCGCTACAGTACCTAAACATCACGAGTTATCAATCTGACCGACTTGGTTATTAATGGTCAACCACTCATTCATTAAATCCTAACTGGCACAATGTGTCAAGAAGTGCTAGTGTTTTTCAAGGATTTGAGCTTCTCTTCAATATGTCCAGAACCTGCGCGTGACAGAGGCAGGCCTTGTGTAGAGAACTTTATTCTGAAAGATAGGTTGTCCCACCCAAATCAAAAGTAGGGTATAACCGGACATGGAGTTTTGGTGCCCAGGCTCACCTGCACTTGAAATCCAGTCCATTGATGTCCCTCTTGGGATTCAGAAAATCTGGTTTGATGGGACAGGTTCGGTGTGCAGAAAAGTCTAATACAGGTTGTATATGTTTTGAGTAAGATGATCGATTGATCTTTCTTTGTTGATAGTGAAACTATTTGTACTATTACATGGGACGCTAGAGAAGAGACGTCTGTACAGAAAGAGATGCAAGCAACAGTCGCGTCGGTTGGGAGAGAGAGAGAGAGTCAGAGAGCGAGAGAAGGAAGAGAATATCACCTAGTCCTCCTACGGCAGGCAGCACCGTCATCCGGATGTGAAGATCTTAGCGAGAGCTGCTGGAATGCAGCTCGGGGTGATGTTGGTGGTGCCCCGCTCTGGATGGAGATGGGTGGACTAAGATGTACTGCCAGTAGTGAAGATAAACATGTAGGGGTGTGAGAGGAATGAGTTATTTCTAGTAGTTGGTGCATACGCATCGGATGCGCGTAGGAGAGATTCAGCAAAGTAGAGACAACATACAAGTGTGTGTGCCGCGGGCTTAGCGAGTGCTAAACATAAACGGGCAGCGATGCGTGTAAGAATGGATTTGACTAATGCAAACCATGACTTTCATTTCACGCAACAACAAAAAAAACCATGACTTGATAGACTACGGGCAGTCGTCACATTATTGGGCAAACTACTACTACATCATCTAGGTAACACGTGCTTTACATCCAGACTGCACACACCGGAGACCGGACGGCACACGCATCAGCATCAACTACACCCAAAAGACCTGGCAAAATCTGATTGGATGCCCCGAATTAATACATCATGACCACGCACTGGAACAACACAGTGACCATCAGATTGGTTACAGCAACCATCGGGCTAACAGCTGCAAGCAGTTGTGTGCCGCGACCAATGTTTGCACACACAGTTGAACCTCGAGACTGAAAACAAAAAAGGAATCCCAAGGTGGCATAGATATAGGGATCATATAAGAACTTCTCTTTTAGAGATCGTGCCTCCCAATCAGGAGGAGGGCTTCTAGGTGTCGTGCAACAACAGAGGCATATCCAAATTCCTTGATCGTGGTAACATGATGAATCTCATAAATTTCTTGCACATGTTGAACACCAACTAGAAGTTGAAAATATCTTTAGCTTACACAATGTCACTAGGCATTTAGTTATTCAAAAGATGTGCACTAGTCGAGGGCATAACTTTCGTTAGTGCGGGTAAACCTAGTAATCACGAGCACAAGTCACTCAAAATAGACAGAGTACGATAATGAAGTATAACGGACGACCAAAAGAGAAATGTCTTCTTAGTCACTATAGAGATCAGTTGGAGAATATATACAACGAGTGCCCAGGAAAATAGAGAGAGAATGTTATAAGCACAGGCACCACAAGATCCGGGCTCTAAACCTTTCACAAAAGAAACGACTTAAAGCCTATGTTATACATGGCAATGAACAAACTAACTTTGAATAAAAACTGGTGCATGTATGTTAGTTTTGAACCCACTATGAAAGATCAAACGACCCCTGGCCTTCGTTGATAGCATAAAGCAGCTTCTTGTGCATAACCTCCTGCAACAATGTTCCGACGACCATAGCACAAGTCAGTTTCCAGGCAAGACGATACGGAAAGGTGGAACAAAAAATTCATCAACCAAAAGAACCAAACCTTTGTCGAGTATGGCGGAAGTTTAAGATAGTTGGCACAAGTCATGACACTAGGCAGATCATCATCTGCAGACTCTGCTGCTCCAGCTGCATTTGAAGTATTCGCCGCAGTCGAAGAGTGCTGGCCAAGATACAAAATGGAAAAGCTTAAATAACATGAACGCAGAAATGATGTCATTCTGCATTGCTACAACAGGCTTACCTTCCTAACTATAGTCAGCTTAGGATTTAGGGAGGCTAAGCCACCAGGTGGAAGCCGAGGAGCACCAGTCACAAACTGGCAGAATGCATGTTGTTGCTCCGGAGTAAATTCCGTCATGATCTCAAGTAGCTGCAAACCAACAGCACAAACATTAAACTGAAGTTCCAAAAATCTGAAATAAAGCTGTGTGAAGAGATGTGCCCTTTTTTAAAGATGATGTACTCACATTGACAATTGCTGGACTCTTCGAGGTATAACCATGATCAAACTTTATATGTTCGACCAGTGTCTCCGGCTGCATTACATGCATTTGCTCAGAACAAGTTAAATAATGATTATAGAAGGGAGAAATAAAGTTAACAGGGCATTACCTCCCAAAGTTCCCGTCGACCACAAATGAGATAGTCAAGCTCTTGAGGAGAAAATATTTGGAGTGATGATATATCAAATACCTGAATTAGAAAAATAATAAGAGAAATGCAATAGCTAATTAACAATAATTGCCAGCAAATAAGATATCTTAGAAAAATGAGAAAACCTGATTAAATCCAGCTTTGAATGCTTCTACTTGACGCATTATTCCAGTCTTAAGTGTAGCATCCACTACCAGCGAAATGTACTCTTCTAAGTTGTAAATGCAGACCTACAGGAAGTTAACAATAACAATGAATAGTCAACAACAAAATTAGAAGCAAAAGCTGAAGTACCACTTAAATGACAACATAAGAACCTAATCTACTCCATCACATACCACTGTATTTTCTTCACCTTCCTTCAGAACAAAATCCGGATAGCCCGGAAGAGTAAAATCTAAGCATAGGTCTTGAATAGGAGCACCACGAAAGCCCAATTCTTCTATTTGTTGACTATGATTAGAGCAGGACTCCAGAAATCGCTTGCGTTCAACAAGAACTTGCAACTCTTGAAGTATTTTACCAAACTCAGCATCAAAAGATAGTATGTCGTACAAATCAAGTTCCTAGTAAAGCAAAATATTTTGGCGTCAATACAGAAGACAGTAGAAGAAATAAAAAAATACCAAGACTTGACAAGAAGGTGGAAGGGAATATTGGAATGGATCTACTGCAAGCGGGTTCTCATGCTTACTTGTCCAAGTAGAAGCTTATAAAATGCTGTTGACAAAGGCAAATCAAGAAGCCTTCCATCTTGCAATGCTTTTGCCATGATTCGACCAACTAAGCGGAAATACTCAACAACTTTGAAGAATTTACTACCCTCTGAAGAAGCAGTACTAGGTGGCCAAGGCCGAGGGAACAAGCCAAGAGGTGCATGTATCAAGTTCCTGCTATCAGCAGGTGAATGTGAATCAAGTTTTTTAGCTTCTAAAGAATCAGAATCAGATCTCCATAATCCCAAGCCAACCCTTTGCAGGTCATGACTTAAGAGGGTGTAGAACTCCAAAGTTGGACCAAGTCCAGTTCCCACTTCACCAAAGTATTCAACTTCAAGAACAGCCTTCTGATTGGAGAACATCTCCATTACTTTGGCAGCAGAATCCAGGATCCGGTTACGAGAAACACGAACTTTCTGGCGTTGCAATCTACCAATCCGGACTTCTCTTTCAGTCGCTGAGCTATTATTATCACCCTGTTGTTGCTGAAGACGATTCAATGCCCTAGATAACCCAAAAGCTGTGGAGTAGAAGTGTTGTCTTCTTGTTTCAAAAGGAAACAGAAATGGACAAGCTTTGGTCATCTGATAACACCAAGAAGGTAAACTACCACTGCAGAGTGCAAGAACATCCTGAATTTGCCGAGCAAGCTTTGGTGTCAACTTACTGCTGATAAACTCCTCTGAGGGTACCTTAGCTCCGGTGCCATATAACCCATCCAGGGTACCAACTTTTCCCTCTATAAAATCATCACAGGTTGCCTGTAGTCTCAGACGAGGAGATAGCTGATTCAATCCCTCCAATACACGCAATAGTGCTAAAATATTATAAGTTTGGGTCGATTTCTCAATATCACAAGGAAGTTCTCCTTGCAAAATGCTATCAAGAAGAGAAGTACATTGTTCTTGAGATGTAGCTCTGCAAAGTTCTGATTTGGACGATTTCAGCACTAAAGATGAACCTCTGGTTGATTCCCTATCCACTTCGTTATCAGCCTTTTGATATGTTATAGTGAACATATCACTCCAGAGACGGCTTCCATCATTGGGTAAATCAGAACCACCTAGCCTTTCCTCATCATCCTCATCATGAACTACTTGCTGTTGCATAGCTTGATATACAGTCAAATGCTTGCTAAGCTGCTTGCCGCCAGCTGTAAAAATCAATTTGTTCGAATGTTCATGTGCACTAGTTCCAAGTGGAAGGCCACGCCTATCCTGGCTACCTCTGATACCACGACTACCAACAGAAGCAAGCCCAGCCATGGCAGCTGCAGCAAACGACATCGCGCCCCGCGAACCAAGTGTGCTTGGATTTCTAAGTTCAACAGAACCTGCTCCCCTGCTACTAAAAGTATGTTTTACGCTGGAGCCAGATGAGGGTTGTGTCTGGTTATCACTTGCTATTGAGGCAATACTAGACCCATCAGCATCTGCCAGTTTTACATCATGCACACTCTCTGGAACACAGTCAGGAAGAGACCCACGTAGAACCTGGGGATTTTCAACAAAAATATGCAGTTTTCAGTCATGCCCACTAAAGCCACATTAACTTGCAGAAAAATAAAGAGATCAACCGAAGTACTTTTGAAATACTACCTCATGGTCATCATCTTCATCATCTGAAACATCATCATCGTCATCACCAAGCATCAAAGCATCATCAGCCTCAAAGGGAGATGCGCCCAGTTCTTCGTCCTGCATGTAGGAAACAGAATGTATCATGCACAACGAGCATAAATACAATAATAAAGTTTAACATCACATGACATAGTGTACAAGAATTGGATCAGAACTTTGTTCAGGGATAAGGGAATTAGTGAAATAGTAATCCAGTTTCCAACGCATAAGTGATCTATTTTGTTATACAGGTGAGAACTGGTAAGGGGTACTTGCAGCTAATTACATAGATATAATTAAACTGACAACTTAATTTATATATTTATCACTCAGTTAGGCAAGAAAAGCAGTATTGCATTCGGGCAAACTTTCAACAGTGAAATGAATCACATTGGTGAATATGCTCCCACTATCACAAGTTCTCAACTATGGAATGTGCCATTGCTGCTTAAGGTCCGTGCCACTCTCTCAACATATAATTATTGAATAGGATGAGGAACTGCAACAACCTTTAGGCACATTCAGTGATCGAGATAGTGGTGGGAGCACCAACCTTTCCCTACATCATTGGTTTTAGTTAGACAATGTCTTCATCAACTGAAGCATTGTAGACATGGTGAGACAATATGTACTCCCTAGATGCCATATCAAACTGCAGGTCAAAAGGCACTGTACTCTGTAGATCTAATTTTATGAAATTCACACATTGGTTCCACAATGAAATTCGTGTTAAATAATAATTTCATAACGGTATTAATCATGTCAATTCCCACATTGGTTCCAACGCATAAGTGATCTATTTTGTTATACAGGTGAGAACTGGTAAGGGGTACTTGCAGCTAATTACATAGATATAATTAAACTGACAACTTAATTTATATATTTATCACTCAGTTAGGCAAGAAAAGCAGTATTGCATTCGGGCAAACTTTCAACAGTGAAATGAATCACATTGGTGAATATGCTCCCACTATCACAAGTTCTCAACTATGGAATGTGCCATTGCTGCTTAAGGTCCGTGCCACTCTCTCAACATATAATTATTGAATAGGATGAGGAACTGCAACAACCTTTAGGCACATTCAGTGATCGAGATAGTGGTGGGAGCACCAACCTTTCCCTACATCATTGGTTTTAGTTAGACAATGTCTTCATCAACTGAAGCGTTGTAGACATGGTGAGACAATATGTACTCCCTAGATGCCATATCAAACTGCAGGTCAAAAGGCATTGTACTCTGTAGATCTAATTTTATGAAATTCACACATTGGTTCCACAATGAAATTTGTGTTAAATAATAATTTCATAACGGTATTAATCATGTCAATTCCCCTTAACAGTTGCACATCAAATTATTAAATGAAAGGAGAGCAGATATAATCATGAAACGACGACGAAAAACAGTAGGACGGTTGTTATAACGAAAATCAGCTTGGCAGCTGAGTAACTGCAGGGAGGCACTACCAAACAAAGAATATGTAGTCAAGCATCTGCATCAAATTTTGGGGAACTAGCAAAAATTCAAGACGTACTGGAGGAAATATATATTCTATAGATTATTAAGAAATGAGTCCATAATGAACAACAAACCTCTGAGCTACTGTGACCGTGTGGTGGCTTCACTTCTGCATCTTTCTGTGAAGCAACTTTCCTGCGTGCTGCAGTCCTAGTATGTGGTCCTTTTGGTTCATCGGACATCGACTTAACAACAGCTTTGCCTTTTCCCTTGGATGTGTTTCCGCTCCCCTCCTGAATATCCTTCTTAGTTGCAGAATCAGCATCAGCCAATGATTTCGACCTAGTTGAGGGCCGCCGGACAGATTGAGTTGACGAAGCCACTGGTGCTGTTGCACTAGGTGCCACAGATTCAGAATTCTTTCCAGATGATACTGCAGGATAAGATATTGACTCACTACGCTGGATTCTAGGCCAAAGGAAATCTTCAACGGCTGCTAAACTTGCCAAGGGATCAATAAGAACTATATTGGATGAATAATCCTTAAGCGTTTTTTCACCCGCTGCTCGACACAGGCGCAACTTCAGGGGCTGAGATAGAGCACTTAATCCAGAGGATGGACGAGATCCTCCCAAACTGGACGTCCTTCCAGAATGGCTAATCACAACTGGGAACCGTTCCAGCGAAGACAACGCGCTTTGCAGTTTTTGAACTAAGAATGCCATTGGAGTTTGATTCCCTACCGCATCATTTGGAAGGGCAACATATATAAATGCTTTATATCGCCTGAGTGCCAGGTGACGCAACTTGGGTAGGTTTGCTTCGGACACCTTTTCCTTTCCAAAGGTTCCACAAGACAAATAATTAAGCAATGCTGAGATAACTCCACTCCCAATAAACTCAAACGTGGAAACCCCATCCCCATTGCTAAGCTCAGACAATATTTTGTCTATGATGTCGTCTAACTGTTCCTCGACATTGCATAAGATATCAAAATCATCACCTCCCAGTGACTTTGATTTCCCTTTGGCTTTTGTTTTAACAGTGTCCGCAGTGGCATTCAATTTTGCACAGAGTGCCCGTAGCTTCAAAAGGTCATCAGTAACTGCAATATCACTTGAGCCGGGTTCAGAGGGGAAGTACTTATCTTTGAATGACTTCGCACGATCACTAACTGAAGCACGAATTCTAGTATTTGGACCTTCTAGCGTGCTTGGTGGTGAATTGGCAATAGTAGTATGGGAACCCTTTGGTTCATCCAAGGAATTATTATCAGTATTCCCAGCACTGCTGCGCCGGCGGCTGCGTCTTGAACGTGAAGATGTACATGTACCAGAATCAATATCCTTGTCCTGCTGTGGTACTTGAAAAAGCATTGGACTTGAGATTTCCTGGCATATAAGCGATTCTACAGCATGAACAACACCTTCCCTCACAAACATCTTCGAAAATGTCCCAGGGAGCTTTTCCATCAGAATTTCAGCTATCTGGAGAGCGGGAACCAACACATGTGGATCTTTCCAAGCTAAGATGCCAGCTAAGAAGCTGCAAAGGTCAATATCAGGTTAGATGGAACCAGAGGTACACGAGTACATGTATAACAGTAAGCAAGAATGGCATCTGAAGTTTCGTATTAGCACCTGGATATGTTTGTTGTGCCATGGAGAATTTCGATCATTTCCGCTGAGCTGTAATACATTAATTTAGCAATGACAGATAAGCATTTATGACGTATTGGTCCATTTACACTGGAGCCATACACCTGCAAGGGATAGAGTGTATCCAAATAATGTCTCAGATAACAGGATTTCAATAATGTTATCGTCAGCAACCAACATCAACTGATACGCCAGCAAACCAAGAGACTGACCTGTGTCATGGTAGGTAATATGTCCATGCCAAATTGCTGGAGAAGTTCAGGCTGATCACGCAATAACTTCTCCCGACCCGAGACTTTAATATCTGTTGAAGCAGACTCGCCTTGCTTGCTAGAACCAGGTTTCTTTACAGAAGAGCCTTTCATAAAAACATGGGAATGCGCTGGTAAAGAAATGGTTCCAGCAGGTAGAGGAGGAAGCAATTCGTCCGCAAGGTTCACAATTTCATACATCTGTGTGACACAACAAAGAATATTAGGATATGAAAACAAGCTGCAAACTACCATAGAACTACTACAGGAAACTCTTGGCTTTTGATAAATTAAAAAGAAAAATGGAGCAAGTAATATGGTATGATGTCGAGATTATTAAGGTTAACAAACAGTAGCTGGGCATCATCTAGGCGGTCACCTACCGCCAGTCTAGTGCATCTCTAAACCTTGATCAAGATCAATACTATCATTGTGAATTTCATATTATAACTGGAGAAAGAAAATCGGGTAGAAAACAGAGAAGTATATGAACCAAGAGCTCCAAGACAAACCCCTAATCCAATTTACCACATTGTTTGCTCACTGTTATAGCTTGCAGGACTGCACAAACAGCACGAGCACGGGAAACATTTGGCAAATTATTATACACAGAAAAAGTATCCAGCATGCAACTTTCTTCCAAATTTTGAATATTCTGTTGTGTGACATTAATTTCAGTTTACCAAACAAACCTGAACTGAATGCACACTTGGGTGAATTTAAAATTGAAAAAAAAGTATCACTCAAAAAGCTTCATCGGCTAAGTCAGATAAAACAACAACCGAACAGAGTCATCAACCGATGGCATTCAAATAAAACAGTAAGTAGCTATAATGTAGATATAGCCCTCATAAAGCAATAATCACCTGATCAGCTGGCCTAGTGGGGGATACAGTTGTACCAGCAACCAAACCAGAACATGAAAGGATATCTTTAAGTGTGCCGCTGATTCCATGGAGGAGGAGTGTTTTAGCTGCCAATGGAGATCCACTTGCACATATTGACAGAACACGAATTACTCCCTTCAAGGATATATGAGCCAGAGTTAGCAAAGTTGCATAAATACTAAATAATACAGTAGATAAGTGAAATAGAAGCATACTGTATATGTTAATGTACTCAGTGATGCTTGTCCCGCTGAGTTGCTAACAGCTATTAAGCTAGCAGCTTGTGCAACCAATCCATAATTGCACAATTGATCCAATTTCTCTGGGGATGAAGCAAACGATTCTGCTATACGAGTCAGGCAAACAGAAGCATGTTCCAGCACCTGGAATACATTGATACAGATCATCAGCATCTAAGAATAGATGGTATCATGGCATAATCAGGGTATCCAAATACAGACAACAAGCATACTTTTGCATCATGGTAGTTCAGAAGATTTGTTAGCAGTGGAACCGCTTCCATTACAAAATCTGAGGCGTCTGAAGGAAGCTTCCTACACATATTGGCAGCTGTAGATAACGCAACTCTCTGTATACATTCCACCAAAAAAACAACTGTGAGTAGTAATAAAAATGTAGTACAGTATGTGTACAACAAAAAGATAGTGATATGACAAATTACTATGTCCCAATTTCTAAATGGTGCAAAAAAATAACATAAGTATTGAGAATGTTATGTCTAAATGCTGGAAAAACATAGAAGTATTTAGAAAAATTACTTGAACACCGGTGGAGAAGAAGTCAAGATATGATAGCACTGCCATTAGCGCGCCAGCCCTCAAGCAGGCAGTTGGATGCTCCTGGGATATCTTCTTGAGTGCTTGTAAGGACTAAAATACCCAGAAAAGGCATAAGAAAATATTAGTACCACATCAAGATCTAGCAATGATAGATTCTTCCTGCAGCATATTTTAAACAACAAAACAAAACAAGGAAAGTGGCTAATCTAAAGTGCCACAGAAGCAATACAATATCAAAATCTAAGAAAGTAATTCAAATGTCCTAGGTGCTAAACCTAATAGTTGTAGATACTACTCAATAACATATTGTGGAGCAGCAAACTAGATTCAATTGCACAAAGGGTTACAAAGGAATTCAAACAGATGATATCAAGTTAATTCACATTGTTTTGAATTAGACCCAAGAAAAGCATAAGTATAATATCCATATAAGATGGGAAGGCAGAGAAGAAACACTGCCAGAAACCGGTTATACATGAATCTTAGCATCTGATTTCCAACCCACTTCTTAGTATTTCAGATGGATCATTACAGTAGCACATACACAGGCGTGAAATCAGACCCTGAGCTAGAAATATTTCAGATGAAAAACATGTTCAAATAGCTAGCTTAGTCATGCACAAATAGGTGATTTGGCACAGCAAAACCGTGTTAAATGGCACCCAGGTGCTCGGCAGGAGCACCACCATGATCAGGCCTAGAAAGTCTTCTAAGGGGCAGATGAGGTCCTTAGATGGATTTGAGTTCGCTGGTGAGGATTTGGAGCCCGAGTCCTCCTGCGGCACCAGAGGAAGGGAAGACATCTCCATGCCCACAAGCTCCCTAAGGCTTTAAGGCATCACGTGCATTCGGACATGCTTTCATCTAACCATTTTTTCTTTCATGTGTCTCCTATCCTCAGCTTCTTCCTCCCAGAGCGACCAGTGCCTAGACCCTAGGCAGGCCCCAAGGCTACTAAGGGATCCGATCACCTTCTGCCTAACTCTCTAGATATTTCTTGTAACATCATTAAATGGTGAGCTACTGAACTAGGCAATATTTGGTACTTGCCAAGTGAACAATCAAACAAGCTATTTCAAATATATAGTTCCTTGAAAATTGATTATACACATATTTCAAACTTAATATTAACTGAGGCTAACTTACAACTACCACATCTGTACAGGTCACCGAAACTTGAGTCAGAAACATAACATAGAAAGCATACAGTGGAACTTCTCGAGTATGGGCACAACGCCAACAAAAATCATGTTCGTAACCTTCTCACCCATATTTATTTTAGCACTAAAATGGGAAAAAACCACAGCTACACAAAAGGCAAACTACTCATGAGCAAGTTCAAATATTATAAATGACCTGCAACACTAAAAGGAAACTCATGTAATGTAGGTTAAGGCTCTATGGGCAGCATAATCATGCATAATACAGTACACAACAATGGTTCACTAAACAAGCAGGGCGACATGATCTGGATCAGGCAACATGATAAAGAAGCAGCATGTACTATATATAAACCAAACAAGCGATGCAACAGAACAGTGCTCACCTGCTCCGCAAGGTCCATATATTCAATGGTGAGAAGCCGGGCGCAGAAGCATGCGACGGCGCCATAGTGCACAACGGCAGAGCAGGACGACGGAAGCACGTCACAGAGGTGGGTCAGGGCCCGCGCGGCGAGCAGCATGATGTCGGGGTTGCTCTCATGGTTGAGCAGCCCGACCAGAACAGGCACGAACGAGTCCACAGAGAACCCGGCGAGGGTGTCCTCGGTGCCGATGGACAGCATCTCGCAGAGCTGCGTGAGCGCCTCCACCTGGCGCCCCTCCTCGCCGTCGGCACGGAGACCCGCGAGCATGCTCTTCATCCGCGCGCCGTTCGGACCAGACATGGACGACGAGGAGGCAGCAGCGGCTGCGGCGGAGAGCGCGGACGACGGCAGCATGTCGTCCAGGCCGGCGCCAAGCTTCCTGAGCAGCCCCTGCAGGGCGCTGCTGGCGGAGGTGAGGCCGTGGGGGAAGGCCCCGTGGCCCTCGTCGTCTTCGTCCATGCCGTCGAAGCTGAGGCCCAGCATCCGCTCGGCCTCGCGCACGCGGGAGCTCTCCGAGGGCTCCTGCTGCTCCTTGCCCTTGTCGGCGTTGGAGGCGCGGCCGCCGCGGCGGCGGGGCGGGGGGTTGTTGCCGCCGTCGGCCGGGAAGT